GAACATTCATTAAAATTACCCCCATGAAGCATTTTTGAATTGATCTAGTTCAGTGTTCCCCAAAGTTTTTTGCCGGTCTGCGGGAAATCTTCAGAATAATAAATTTATGAAAAGTAGCAATGAAGTCCTTTATCTCAGCCTAAAATTTCAGAAGGACAATTGCAGTTGAAATGATCTGATGAAAATTAATCTTGACTTTTTTCCTAATAATGTAACACACCAGACAAATTTTTGCCCTCAGAAAAAAATTATTTTAATTTTTGATTCTGAGGAACCTTTCTTCAAGCCCATCTTTCTAATTTTTGAGGAAATTCAGCTTCTGCTTCTTCATTGGTGCTCAACTCAACTTTTTTTTAAAAATCAGAAACATTTATTATCTGCTATAAAGTCTTTTAGTCAAAACTTTTGTGTGTTTGCAAAATGTTCACAAAACATTGCCAGTCCGCAGAAAACTTTTGGGAAATTTGCCAGTCCAAAAAAAAAATGTTTTGCAAATTTGCTGGTCCGCGTGTCCAAAAAGGTTGGGGATGAACACTGATCTAGTTCATTTTCTTACTTCGTAAAGTTGATCCTGGCGACACCTGCCCAAAATTCCGATAAGCGCGATTTAAATTGAAAAAATTTATAACTAATTTACAAGCCAATTTGCTCTTGGTTCTCTGTATAAATGATGGCGTCTATATATACAGACTTGCAAATGCAGTATTTCGAGAAAAAAGAGGGGAAAACCTGACGCGGTATTCGCTGAAGTAATCCTTGGCATATTTGACCTGTTCAGTACATATTTAGAAGTAATGCTTGATTTCTCGTCTGTGACATCCGCTGTTTCATTTTTCGATCTGTCCTGCGAATTTTCATTTATTTTTAATTCCGCTATGGCAAAACCAAACAGCATTCCATAGATGTGCTGGAAATATTTATGACGACGACAGTATATGAATGCGCGAGGGAATTTCCGGTCCGGAATTTGCGTCGTCCTCTGTCGCAAATTCCACAGGGACATTTGTAAAGGGGATTCCGCGATGGCGTTGGGTCAATCGAGCACGACCCAACTGAAAATCGGGGGTCAATTGAGCGCAGAGCACAATTGAGCGTCAGGGTGGTTCAACTGATTATACCCAGATCAAAAAATACAGATGCGTCTTCTTCATCATTTCAATAAGCCCGATTTTCGTAAATATTCCGTAACGTCCGGGAAATTTTTAGTGAGTGGAACTACAAATTTTTTTTCATGAAATTTTTGTTTTCCGATTTTTTTTTATGCGGGAACCCCGCTGTATTATTAATTACAATAAAACAAATGGTGGTTATCAACAAGGTGATGCACATGCTACGCTAAAAATAATACTGTAATTTGGCATTGACGATGCAGTAGCACATTAATTATTTGGAAAACTCATTTTTTAAATCAGATGTGCGGTGCATTACGAGGGCTTACACGGTTCCGCGCGGATCAGCTTGTTATCGCTGCTGTTAAGCTTCAAAATTTAACAACTGAATTTTTCAAGGACTGTTTCAACACATGGATCCAAAGGGCTGAGAAGTGTGTAAAAAGTGTAATGTAAAATACATTGGTTTGTTCATCACCAGAGCTGCTTCTCTTCTTATGTCCAGCATTTCATACTGATGTAAATCTTTCTCAAGCTCATTTCTATGTATTGGAATTCAATGAAGAGACCCTTTCTGAAATCTTGAAGGATCAAGATAAACTGTTGGCCTTATATGATTTCTCATCAAAGATTCTCTCTAAATTGTTCATTCAACTAAACCTCAAACAGAAACAAGCTGAAGACCTTGTGCTTTTAAGTAATTGTTACTGATATTTTGTTTTCAATGTCAGGGAAGGAATGGGTGTATGCATACATGTCAGATGTCCAGTTGTATTTTGTGGATTGTATTTTCTTTTTTTTGTTATCCATTTGTGCTCTGTTTCCTGCTCTGAAGTGATTAAATGTCTTGGAGTTGATTTGGGTTGGGTGGGGAGGGGGTTTGGATGTGGAAATCTTGACTGAACCTTCTGAACACTGAAAAGCGGCAAATAAAGTGTTCTGTTCATTCATTCATTGATTCAAGTGTTGGTGATTCCATCAAGTAGGTGTCTGTCTGGCCTCTTTTTGGAACTATAGTGAGAATTCAAAAAAAAATAGAAATCTTTTGGCAATTCAGATAATTTCAAGTCTGCGCCAAAACAGGTCTGCACGGAAATGTGTAATCCCTCTTATTTAAAATATATATAGAAATATAAATTTAAATAAACTTTTACTGCTGCTTTGTCTTCAATATTGGGGATGGGTGGGTGTATGCAACATACGTGTAGGATGTACAGTTTTATTTTGTGGAGTGTGTTCTCTTTTATTTTTGTCATTTGTTTGTGCTTTGCTTCATGCTTTGAAATGATTAAATGTATTTGGGGGAGTTGGGTTGGGTGGGGAGGGGGTTTGGATGCAGGAGTTCTGGTTATCCCTTGTGAATGCTGAAAAGCGGCAAATAAAGTTTTCTGTTCATTCATTCATAAATAGAAAAACGTGTGGTTCAGCGGCACATGCTACACTAAAAATAGTAATTTTACATTGACGATGCAGTCAAAAATGATTTATTTTAAAAACTCTTTTCTAAAAGCAGATGTGCGATGCCCACATGATGAGCAAATGTTCAGTGGATATATTTGTGGCACCCTGTTTGGACGGTCACGACACGACGGCATGTACATGCCCTGTCAGGAATAAACCCAACAGATAAAGATTTTAGGAAGGAAACCTTATTTTGAGAAGAAATAGAGTGAGTAGGTTTGAATAAAACACAGAAATTCGGTCGGGCTGCGACCGGGGTGAGAACACCCTATTATAAGGTTGATATATTCAGGTAAAAATAGCAATTGACACTCAAGTGAATTCGCTCGCGAAGTTTTGGATGAACCGCACGCTCGAGAGGTAGAAACCGGACTGTG